ACCGGCCCCGAAATCGGCACACTTCTCACGGCGACGGTTTGAGCGTACACTCCTCCAGGTGAGCGGACGTTCCTCCGGTTTTGAGCGTACATTCCTCCGAAATCGGCGCACTCAGTCGGCGATTTGAGCGTACACTCCTCCAGGTGAGCGGACGTTCCTCCGGTTTTGAGCGTACATTCCTCCAAAATCGGCACACTTCAGTCGGCGGTTTGAGCGTACACTCCTCCAGGTGAGCGGACGTTCCTCCGGTTTTGAGCGTACATTCCTCCAAAAATCGGCGCACTTCAGTCGGCGGTTTGAGCGTACACTCCTCCAGGTGCATGTGAGCGGACGTTCCTCCGGTATTGAGCGTACATTCCTCCAAAATCGGCACACTTCAGTCGGCGGTTTGAGCGTACACTCCTCCGGGTGAGCGGACATTCCTCCGGTTCCTCCGGTTTTCAAAATCGGCGCACTTCAGTCGGCGGTTTGAGCGTACACTCCTCCAGGTGAGCGGACGTTCCTCCGGTTTTGAGCGTACATTCCTCCAAAATCGGCACACTTCAGTCGGTGGTTTGAGCGTACACTCCTCCAGGTGAGCGGACGTTCCTCCGGTTTTGAGCGTACATTCCTCCAAAATCAGCACACTTCAGTCGGTGGTTTGAGCGTACACTCCTCCAGGTGAGCGGACGTTCCTCCGGTTTTCAAAATCGGCACACTTCAGTCGGCGGTTTGAGCGTACACTCCTCCAGGTGAGCGGACGTTCCTCCGGTTTTGAGCGTACATTCAGTCCAAAATCGGCACACTTCAGTCGGCGGTTTGAGCGTACACTCCTCCGGGTGAGCGGACGTTCCTCCGGTTTTCAAAATCGGCACACTTCAGTCGGCGGTTTGAGCGTACACTCCTCCGGGTGAGCGGACGTTCCTCCGGTTTTGAGCGTACATTCCTCCAAAATCAGCGCACTTCAGTCGGCGGTTTGAGCGTACACTCCTCCAGGTGAGCGGACGTTCCTCCGGTTTTGAGCGTACATTCCTCCAAAATCGGCACACTCCAGTCGGCGGTTTGAGCGTACACTCCTCCGGGTGAGCGGACATTCCTCCGGTTTTCAAAATCGGCGCACTTCAGTCGGCGATTTGAGCGTACACTCCTCCAGGTGAGCGGACGTTCCTCCGGTTTTGAGCGTACATTCCTCCAAAATCAGCGCACTTCAGTCGGCGGTTTGAGCGTACACTCCTCCAGGTGAGCGGACGTTCCTCCGGTTTTGAGCGTACATTCCTCCAAAATCGGCGCACTTCAGTCGGCGGTTTGAGCGTACACTCCTCCAGGTGAGCGGACGTGGTCCGTAGCGGCAATCTTTTGTGCAATGCACTGCTTCGTCACTATTTAGCGGAAAACGAATAAATATAAATAGCCGCTGGAAATTTGAAGATCCTGAAGTTTCTTCATCCCTTGGGATTTCCCAACTTCAAGACAGCAACCATCTGTTCTTGCTACAGTTACACATATATTGATTAATTAAGGCAATGAATTACCCAATCAATCTATCTATCAATCAGTCAGTCCACACGTACAGACTACCATTCTTAACCCCCGAAGGCGCACTTTCCTTTGTTCCTCTCACATGTAGTCAGTCTGACCTGCGACTGACACCGTTTGATACCAGTCACACAGCAAATGATCGATTTCCCTTCAACAAAACTGCTCATTACAACCTTTCACTGCGGTACAGGACGCCACATTCCGGCAGAGTTTGGGGCCAGTGAGTGGTCGCCACAGGCTACATGTTTCTTGGTCTAGCTATGTGTCAAAGTCTAGATTCTCGGTCACGGGTCACACCACTTTTCCTCGAGAACGCGTACGATACAAAGTGTTTCAGAGAACGTGCACATTACAAAGACCCTCAAACGAAAAAGATCAGTTTGGTTGTAAAATTATACTGGCTCACTGAAGCTCAAGTATTTCAGAAAATTCCAGATTCTGCGAGTTAAATTCAAACTGTTGCAAAACACTTGACCAGTCAGAAACATTCAGGCTTCCCAAAGGTATGTCAATAACGTTAACCTAACACGTTAATTTTGGTCGTTTCTTACCGCTCATATTTTGAGAAAATCAAGATTTAACATTGGTTGTATGCTACCGAAACTACGATGCAGTCAGAAACTTTTCCCTCCTAACATCTGCTTGGAGATCAAATCCAGGTCTTTTCTTCGGGAAACACACTGTGTTTATAGCTAGTAGCCCTCAGGCCGGCATCCAATCAGCGCCAACTTCTCACCTGGTAACCTCAAAAGTCACATCAAGAACAAATCACAGGATGTCTTACAACGAGTGATTGGTGGCTTCGATCTTAACTTGAGAGGCCATCATTCAAGTTACAACATGTCAATATCTTTGTTATATTGTATAATGTGCGTATACGTAGAAAGTGCAATACGTATACGGCAACAATTATGCCTTTGTCCCATTTAGTTAGTAATTCAGAATGTAGAAATTAAAGATATTCAGATGTACTTTCTTTACCATTGTTAAGTTAGTCAAATTACTGTTGACAGGGGTTTAACGAAAATTTAATTGTGAAGACAGTCTGTCTAGCCTTTACAAGCTAGTCTCTACGGCAGTTTCGGAATTTTTAATTTTGGCTTTTATTACCGGTTACGTCGGTTTCCTGGTTGTGGTGTTTAATAGTTCAAAGGCAAGGGCGTAACAAGATCGGCGATGCGCCGTCAACAACTTAAGGGTAGCGTGGAAACGTCTAACAATAGCCTTGGGCACGGTGCCTTGGGACACCATAAGATGTGAGATATTCGGACGGTCCACAAAATTGAGCAAGTGATTTTAGAATTTTAGTTGATTTACGAAGTCTACATCTCAACGGCGATACGCCTATGCCAATCAGTCTGAACTATTGATATGAAAGTTTCAAACGTTCTTGCTATACTTAACTTGACTGTAGCCATAAGTTAAATTTAGCGTACGTAATAGAATGTACTACGGGCCTCCGAATAACAAATATCAATACGCCATGAAGACGGGACTGTTCTGGAAACTGGGCCTTTATTATTAGCGACAATCTACAAATATCAACACGACAAATCCTGAAGTATGTACTATTACTAATCATCACGTCCCTAGATTATTAGTCTTAGCTGTGACACAATTGCAAGGCACAACGAGACAAAGACATAGCTCATAATCCTTCATTTGAAACTTCAGACTATTTTTCAGTTCTACATATCCGACATGATCCTCTACTAGGTCAAAAGGTTTGTGTCTGAAGGGCGAGCAGTCAAGAAAAAAAAAACATGACGATCTACATGTACCGAAGAAAGATCTGCTTAGAGATTAGAACCAAACATTTTCTACATGTCTCTCTCTAACAAAAAAGCTTTTGTTTACTGACGCCGAAGGCAGTCACCCAATTAGCCATAATTTTTCCTCTGGGGGGTCCAACAAATCAGCCGCCTGAATTGTCCAACTGACAGTCGGGTAACACCTGTTCACGGTCCCTGACGGACGTTTAGAAATCTCCCAACGCGGCTTGACAGGATGTTTACTTTTGGGCGGGCGTTTACTTTACTTTGGGCGTTTAAAAAGCTATTATTTTCTTCGCATAGAACGTGTTCTTCTATCATGGAGCCTTGACATTTCTCCATGGTGTGCCACAAGTTGGCCAGGGTCGGACAAAAACAGGTCGGAATCAAATCTTGAAAGTTCATCTGTGTTGGTAGAAGTCCGCCATTATGAAGGAAGATTTAACTTCCAACACAAATTAGGGTGGTATGTCCACTTTCTTGTGTTGGAAGTTATAGTTTAAACTTGCTTCATAAGGTCAAAAACAAGACGACAATATATAGCGATATGATAAGCAAAGCTACCAAGTAGTTTCAGAAGCAGGTATATAAACATTCTGACGAAAGTTTTCATCACAAAAAAATGGTTCCAAAGTTGTCCTGATTTGGAGCTAGTGTTAAATGAAGTGTGGTGAAGTGGACATAAGAAGTGGATTTTCGGCCTCTAATTTTAATGAAAACACATACCACAAAATAACTGAACTACTGTGGTGTATGATTAGGAGTATCTCATGGGAGAACATATAATTACAAGCCTTCAGGGATTGAACTGGGTGTCATTTATGTGCTGTGGGTAGCTATTGTTACCAAGGTATGTTTCAGAAGTTTAACAGGAATTCTTGTCTTTGAACACGCTCTTTAGTTATATTTCACTGTATTAAAAGCTTATGTGCGACATAACCAGTATCAGAATTCTTCAAAATCATTCGAACAGAAACAATTTCGAACATCTTGCAAAGAAAATGTATATGGACCTGCCTATAACTCAGAGAACTTTTGTCAAAGAGGTCCAAGTTTTAACAGTTATTTTCTTGTGAACGTCTGCAATAAGATTAAAATCAAACTATTGATATTAATATCTATCACACGTACATACTCCCCAAGCAGAGGTTTGGGTTTTGGCTTATTTTTGGCATGTTTTAGGGTTTTTATCGGGGTTTCTTTTTTGCCCTGGAATTTTTTACGCCAACCCAAAAGAAAAGCCTAAAAATACGTCAAAAATAAGCCAAAACCCAAACCTCTGCTTGGAGAGTAACACGCACATTTCACAGACTGAAATACAGAACGAGAAAACTGAGAAAAGTTTGTGAAAATGTCCGTCCTTGGGGCTTGTTTACCCCGGTTTTGTTACCGTCTTTATAAGGACTTGTTTGAACTCCTTGAGGTGAGAGTAAATCCCTTAAGGAAAAGTCAAGAGTCTGTGGAGGCCTGTCCAGTACTTAGAAAGAAAGCCGTAATTGGCTGATAAGGGTTTCCATAGAGCCGGGAATTGTACCATAAGCAGTTTTGAATGGGAGGTCTGGCAAATAACGTCGTCTCAAAGGTTCAATTGTTGTCTTAAAAAGAAATTCATTTGACAGTCAGTATTGCAGGTAATTCAGCGGTTAAAAATGACATGTTCTTATATATACAACTGTTGCTAACTAGTCTAAGAGTATTTTGTGGAAAGTTGGAATGTGTGAATTAATTGGCTGTTTGGAAAAATGATAGTGTAGAAATGATTTTGTTTTGGGAGAAACCCCGTCGGGGGCGTCCTTGGTGATGCATGGCAACGGCCGTGCGAGTTGGATTTCCGCCACCACGCCTCACAATGTGTGCAGGTTTGTTTAGTAAGACGAGGGCGCAAGGCCAAGACAAAGAACAGGTGATTGGATCCCTTACTTACGTTGGCTACAAAATATCGGGTCTATAGGTTCTCATGGCAGGGCGGTAATTGAGCTGTTTTCTATGGGCCGGGCGGGCTGGGATCAGACTACTGCGGCCTCTCATTGCTGCGTGACCCGTGGAGGGACCCGGGCGGACTCGGTTCAACTCCCAAACAACGTGCGTTTTGGAGTCAACACCACAAGTCAAGAGTCGCTGTTTGGAAACACACACACGGCGCCAGTGGCCGGGTGTGAAACACGGGCCATGGGGATCCTACACCGGGCCGTGTTGGACGGCCGTGTACACCAGGTGAGACTACTGGTCTCCATCGGGGTGAGTCTAGAAGAACGCGACCGGAACGGACTCACCCCGCTCATGCTCACCTGCTACGTCGACAAGGAAGAATCCGGACTCCGGATCGCCAGAATCCTGGCCCGTTCCGGAGCGTACTTGAACGTGGATGACCCGAACGGAATGAACGTTCTCCATCACGCCTGTAAGGTCGGTAAATACGGCATCGTCGCCTTCCTACTCGACCAGGACGCTATGGTTACCAACAGCCCCGACAAGCTGGGCAACACGCCGCTCAACTACGCTGCTATCAACGGTAACCCTCAGTTAGTAAAACTCTTAGTGAACAGTTTGACTCGGTACAGGGTCGACATCGACCACAGGAATAAGGAAGGCTTCACGGCGCTCCTTCTGGCGACTAAGAACGGGCACTACCAGGCCTCGCAGATTCTGTTACAGGAGGGCAAGGCGTCCACGAGAGTCAGGGACAACGAGCACTTTCTCAACCCGTCCCAGTGGGCGAAGAAGAGTCACAGCATCCACGCGAAATACCTGCGGCAGAAGACGGCAGCGACCCGCCGAATTATGACCGGGAGGTTCGGGCCCCACTCCGGCGGGAGCGACAGCGACTGTTCCCGGAGCACGACGTCGTCTCTCTCCGCTTCCGATCGGTCCGTCTCACCGACAACGATCGGCGGGGTACGCTCGGAACTACACCTGTCGCTACCGCCTTCACCGAGAAAAACCACCGCTGTTTCCCTGAGTTTCCCCCAGCTGAGACACCAGAGGTTCACCCACAACAACGTCAACACATCCTGTAGCTTCCAAGAACAACACCTGCGACCCTTACTCACGACGATACGGCAAAGGAGCGCGAAGGAAGGCCGGCCGTTTTCTTCAAGTACCATCGCTTCAAATGCCAGCATTCCGGCTTCAAGTTCTTCCTCCTCAGCCGTGACTCTCATATCAGTGCCGGAGGAAGTCCGAGACGTGGAGAATAACCAGTTAAGAACGATATTCCAGCTGTATGAGAAGGACTTGAGATGGAGACCCAAGTCTCTGCCTATTCCGACCATCATCACGCCGCCCCCCTCCCCCCGGCCGCTGAACCCGATGCAGAGAGAGGGGTCGTTTGTGAGCGTGTTTACGGCGGGAACTGCCTTCACCGCCGCCGGGTCAGCCGCAGGGCTCACGGTAGAATAAGGACCAAACTGACGACACATAGACTGGTTTTGGAAAACTATCAAGAAGTGTAAGGTTTAGAAATATTACCATGGATATGGTAAATGTGTGGCATCTTTTCAACCAGTGTTAATGTTTTTCATTCATTCAAACACTGCTTCAACATTAACTGCAGTTTGTTTATTTTTTTTACCAAACTAGAGGCCATACTTTACTTGCAAACGCTTTGATATCAAATATTCTGACAAATGTAAGAAAAATTTTAGTGAGAACATGAAATTGTGTTATCAAATTACACTAAAAAGTGTTGTATATATGTATACAATGTACAATGATTTCTCATTGTGAATATTTGTGGAATTTGGAAAACGGCTAGTATACGTTTTTAAGTGCTTCAAATGAACTCTAATAAGTGAAATATATGATACATGACAAATGTGTATGAACATGAACTTATCAAATATGTGCATTAGATAGCCTAAGGTTTGATATGATGGTCTAGATGAGACATTGTGGAAATAGATTTTATTAATATCGCACATGATCTAATATCGATATCAGTTCTAGATATGATTATCCTCAGGGATGCTGAATGCACTGGTTTCAAATGTGTCAATTGTCAAGTTGACATTTTGTAGGTTCGTGAATTATTTACGCCAAGGTTCGAGTCCACTTTTCTGATTGCTTGCTGGCTTCAAAGCAAATCTGAAAAGATTAAACAGCAGATTTGTCATTGTCCGATGTATTTGTTGTCTTCTGTGCAATTGTTGAACTCGATCACATACTATGTACCCGTACCAAATGGTTGTGATATCTCTCGGGCAATATAATAAGGCCACAGCAAATAATTTTATCACATCAGCGCGTGCATGAATTTTCGTCTGATTTTGGAGAGAAAAAAAAAATTGTTGCATTCTGAGAGTGGTCAACATGCCGAAAATGGATAAAGATGCCTGTTGGCATGCTGGAACGTGGATGGCAGATAATTATGAAGAGAGGAGACAAGACAAGGCTCTGGTTTATTGTTTTGTCTTTTACTTTGATGCAGTGATTTTATTCATTTCATATGTGTATTTGGGCCGCCATGTTATTTTCGCCCTATCGCATTAGATTTGGAGTCTGTGGAGGATGTCATCCATAAAATTTTCTTGCTGTGGCCTAACTAGTAAGGGCTCTGTCCCCCCCCCACCACACACACACATAAGGTAGTAGAAAAGCTTAGTGGACAATACGAAGAGGGTTATAATGTAGGGTACAGTTCAGGTATAACACATTCGACTAAAGCGTTATCTCAATTGTATCCTATACTATAGTACGTCCAATATCACACAACAAGTGCAAAGATGGATCACGTCCACTGTGTGACTTACACAACGTGTGAAACTATTTAAAAACAGATTATGTATACCAAACACGTTATTAGGTATGAAAAATTGGAAGGCATTGTGTTCAGAGAGGGACTTTAGCCTGGCAGCTTGCGATATCTGTAAAATAAAGAATCCATTAAAAAGCGATTTCTGCTATGCTTTTGAAGTCGCCTAACGTCGTTGGGTTGTTACAGTTACAAACATTTCATCCCATTTTCTCGTCTTAAAAGGTTCAATGTCATCTCCATGGTGAAGAAATATGGATCACCTATTATCAAAAGACACATTAAAACACCAGAACGTACTTAGAGAAGGCGTAAAAACCCTTTTGTTTCGTTCACAATGTTCTTTTCTATGGTTAGAAAAACGAGTTTTTGTGGTAAGAACAAACGCGTGTCTCTGGGTAGAACTGGAGCGGAACACGTTGTAACAGCGGGCCGGTGTGGCGCTAGCTTGGCGGGGCTTTTGTACCGAGTGCGCCGGTGTTGTGTTAGTAGGTGGATAGCAGAAGGTTAATGGTTTAAGGTGATTTCTAATCTGTACAGTAACTACAGTTTTGTGACATCTATCCCAACCTGGGAAGGGCGGTGGACATGCAACACTTGCCATGAGTACGGCTGTATTGTGCGCGGCGCTAGCTACATTTCACAGGATAGGGGGTATCAATGTATAAATCTCATGATACCCTATACCGGAATAAGGATCGGTAATTAGGCTACATTATATATAGGCCCCTGTCACACATTCAGGCCCTTGCCCCCAGCCGCCAGCCAACTTAAGTACCTTTCTATAAGAATCGAATCGAATTTGAGTTAAATATGATTCAGATTTGACTCCCAACTACGCCCCCACCCCGACCACTGCCAAACTACTCCCGAACTCCAGCCAACCACCAGACAACAAAGGCAGAACCTCTCGTTCACACACGAATATCTTAAACATTTTGAAACATGTACACTCGGGAGGCCATATTCGGCTTAACGTTTCCTGTATGGATGCCATCCATATGTACGTTTTAAATCCCCACTTCCCCTTCCCCTCCCCATAGATTCTCTCGTCGAATGGGCGGTGATACTAGTATGCAATAAGGCCACGGCAAGTAAATTTTATGGATGACATCCTTAGCAGATTTCAAATCTAATGCGACAGGGCGAAAAAACAAGGCGGGCAAAAAGTCAGGATTCTTTCATTTTCAACGTTTGCTGTCATAAGCCTTGTTAAATAAGAATTGAAGTGACAAAACATGATATCACAACCAAACAGATCTTTTATTCTTGTATTCAACAGTATTACCAGTACCTGTCCTTGTAAATGTGGAACTTCTAGCAAAACGGCTAGTCGTATCATTATTGGCAGCTACTATACTGGGTTGGGTTGGAACTTGGAAGCGATGGAACCTGTCATGTCAACATTTGCAATCAAACGCGAACCATCGCTGCCTCAAGTTTTCTGGATCCTTGATGGTCTCCGAACCGATAGGCATTTACAACATATTTGCCCATTTTCCATGTTGACCACTGTCAGAAGGCAAAGAATTCTTGTTTTTTCCCAAATCAGGTGAAAATTAATGCGCGCGCTGATGCCACCCATAAAAATGACTTGCTGTGGCCTAAGGCAGAAGTTATCAGATGTTTCATTCGTCAAGGAATAAATCAAGGGCCCGTAACATCCAATGAACATGTTCCAAACAACCTCAGACATTTCTCCCCCAGGACAACCACCGACATGTATATCTCCTTCCGATCGCAGATGACATCGTTTATTTATTTATTACATAGTTGCTAAGCAACTAAGGGTGCAATCTTGAAACAACGTCATACGTGGCCTCCCGGCAGTTTCTGGGAGGCAGTTCTACTGATTGCCACCGGCAATATGCCAGAATATGAATGTTTATATAATAAGAATATTAATGTAAACATTAAACTTACAGAAGAAAGTCGTTCTACGCTTTTTTCCACGTCTTGTATAGTATAGACAGCTCTTGACGTAAATGTTAATCATTTGAAGTGATTACTAGTATAACATTTAGGTGGTAGGCAGACAAAGCTTTGAAAACTAAGATAATGTATTTTTAGTATCTACAGACAGGTGACAGCGTAACATCCTTGCCTGGGGTAATGAAGAGGTAACAGGACGCTTGTGTAATGTCACTCTATGATTAAACATTGTCGTATCTAGGTTGGCTGCTTTGAAACAGACGTCATCGGCCAGACTAATATAATATCGAACCTCCCACGCAAGAAACCACATAAACCTCACACACGATTCTTGGAAATAAGTTCTTCAGATCATTTTTCTCTCTCTCTCTACTACCCTCCTTGCGGCAGAAGTATTTTTTTGCGGTGTAACATGGCGAAGTTGCTGAGCCTGTGCCTGGTGGTGTGTTCCGTGGTGTTGTGGGGTGCAAGTGCAGAAGTGTGCCTACAGGGCTGTCAGAGGCGCCGGTCTGGGACCTGTGCGGTGGAGAATGCAGGGTTCTACAGGCAGTGGTGGGCGTTTCACCGACATGTGTTCACGGGCCATCGCCGACTGAAAGGTACATATGTCAGCAAATGATACCATTTAACCCTTACAGTGCCATGATGTAAGGATCGGGACTGGGTGTTAGAATTTACCTGTGCACGTGTTAGTCGTAGGGTTAAACGGTGAAGCTAGATAGCAACCGCATAGAGCACAGACCAATACCTCCGCAGAGGTTTGTTTGTTTCGCATTACCGGTAAACCGCCTACAGGCGTAACGCAACCAGTTTTGTACATATGTAAGTACAAGCTGTACGAGACCGGACTGTACGGTCTGAACTAGCCTCTACCAGGCATGCTTATCCCTCTATTTGGCCGATTTCTACTCTTCCAGCCGCCTAGCCAAGCCTTGTAGAGGCTACGGTCTGAACAACTCACACCGGGAAGGAAGGACCTCTACTGTTTTCGATAAGTGCGGTGGGATCTTTAACGTAAATGGGGTGTGGCTTTCCCCAATCCCTTGACCTCCATTTATGTTCCTATCCGAGGGACGTCCCTAACCGAAGTTAGGTACTCATTTTCACCTGAGTGAAGTGAGGAAAGTTGTGTAAAGTGCCTTTCCCAAGGACACAAGATCAGTGACATGGTAGGATTCGAACACGGGACCGAGCCGAACACACTACCGATTAAACAACACGATCTCACACAGGTTGTATAATGTTGACTTGACCAAGGCGAAAATTCATGCATTTTAGAGTTTCAAACAAATTATGCAGGTCTTCTGCGACCAAGGCACTAGGAATTTAAAATCTACGTTTATCCTTTTACTTATGTTGTATATTGTTCAGGATAAGATCAATGTGGACGCTGTTTGCAATGTACACAATCAAAAGTGTTTCATTTTGCAGCCGAGCGCGCATATATATATGACTATCATGATGGCAAGATATCTAATTTTCTTGAACGAGGCGAAGACTCATCAGTGCGCCCTGTGCTTTGATTTGTTCCAAATTATGTTTTTCAAAGTCATCTTTCTATGTGTGCATTAATATTGTCTGTGAAATATTATTGGTATATGTTGATAGGTTGCTTCTTTTTATAATATTTGTTTATTTTTCATTCGTATACTTAGATGCGCTGGAGGCCAATCTAATGTGCGCTGAGTGTCACACGGCAGTATCTCAGCGCTATCCCAGCATGCCTCTCTGTCTGGAAAAAGAGCGATTCGTCGTGGTCAAAGGTCACAACTTCCGGTTCCTCACAGACGAAGTTCTCCGGCCGTTCCAACAGGTGCTCAGCCTCTCGCTCTTGGAGGCCAACGTCACGCACGTGACTACGGGCGCTCTCGCGAGACTACGAAACCTCGAGTTTCTCGGAATTGCGAACAACAACAACGTACCCGTCCTCGAGACGGGCAGTTTCTCCCTCCCGGAAGCAAGATGGCTGTCCCTGAGACAGAACAAGATCCACACGATCGAACCTCGTGCGTTTGATCCTTCCCGTCACGTGACCCACCTGGATCTCCATGGCAACGACCTCCATGTCGTCATGGCTGCCTCCTTCGCTGGTCTGACGTCATTGACCTCGCTTGACCTCGGCTCCAACCAGATCAAGTACGTCACATCACGCGCGTTCGAGTCCCTGTCGTCACTTGAGTCTCTCAACCTTGAGAGCAACGATCTAGATGCAGTCAAGAAACACTGGTTCTGTGGCCTTTCCCGCCTGGAAACCCTCAACCTAGCAAAGAACAGGATAACAGAAATACATCAGGGCAGCTTCCAGGCACTTCAGGCTCTGCGATCTCTCGAACTCTCCAGCAACAAACTGACCTACGCTCACGAGCATTGGTTCCACAACATGACGAGCCTTGAGAAGCTCTCCCTGGCGGACAATCAGATCATTGCAGGATCAGATGAGTCGCTGACTGGGTTGATGATGACAGTGGATTTGCGCCACAATCCTCTGCGGTGCACGTGTGCAAACCGGTGGATTCAGGAGCTGAATTTCGACAACAGCAGCCGGCCAACCTGCGGGTATCCGTCCCTGTGGCGTGGCCAAAAACTTTCGGACCACAACGTGACGTTCCCATGCCCACTTGCAGCGCTGCCCACCAAACTGGTGGTGTCTGCCGTTCCTACATCACTCTTATCAGCGCCCCCTGTCTCCTTCCACTATACTTACACCGCCACCTGCCGCCTGTACTGGGAACGACTGCCCCAACTCGTGTGGACGATCGGGAACGAGACGAGTGTGAGCCTGCCAAACGATCTGCCTCCTGGTCAGAAGAAGACAGTGACTGTATCCATGGCAACGTACAACATCACGGCAACGGTGGAACATACCATATCCAAGAAGGGGTGGCCCTGCCGACGATGTGTCGTGCTTAACGCTGGAGAGCAACTAGCTGGGACTGGAAGCGACAATTCTTTGAGCTACCTGGGCAAGACGGTGTCCAAAATACAGGTGCGAACAGACCGTGTCATCACCTCGCTGGATTGCATCGCTGTAACTGAGGACAAAAATTTCACAATTCCGACCGCCCCTACTTCCCAACAAACTGTAACAACGGTCAAACCTTCACCGACGACTGCCACCAACCGCGCCAACTCCGAGCAGACCTCACCGAAGCGCCACCTCGCGACCACACCTCGACCTGCAACTACAGCTTCACCTGTCACAGGGAAACCACCGGACACGGGAGAGACGTCGGGGAGTTTGTCGTGCGTCCTGATCGCCCTGCTGGCCTCGGCAGTGATGGGGCTGCTGACCGGCGTCCCTTCTCTGATCGTCATGCATCGGCGGAAACGGAAAGGCCGGCGCGAGAAGAAAATCTGGCAAGAGTCTCTGAGAAGAAGCCTGACGGCCAACAAGACCTACACGGGCACGGAAGGCAAAATAACCACCGTGAGCGACTTAGACAACGACCCTGATGATGTACTTACACCCAACCTATACGAAACTGCACACGAATACGAGAGATGCCCGTCACCCTTGCCGCTGCCACCTGTGACGCCTGTACAGGAGCGCCACCCTGCGGATAGGAAGTCAATGGCATACGTCAGCCCCAACGTCTCCGACAGCGACTGCGGGGTGTACAGGCAGGAGGAGGACGACGCCGTCCCCGCCGATCCGGACGCCCCGCCCCTGGAGGTCTACACTCCCGGTGACGACACATCGGGAGACGAGGGCCCTTCTGGAGAAATCGACAGAGAATCGTGCTCCAGCATAGACATAGATTATGAGGACGCATGCGATGGAACGGCCTAACTCAAAATTGCACATTTCTGTGTGTCAATACTTCAGAATTCAACAAACAAAAATGTTTCAGTCACAACTTTCAGATGACAAGAGCAGCACAACAGATGATGCGCTCGCTCAGATCACAAGAACACATGCACAAAAGAACCAGAAGTTGTTCTTTCTTTTCGAAAACTCGTGCCACACTCTTCGGGCTCCAAAGCCAGTTTTGATCACGCCCTCTAGCGAAGAACTGACAAGCGGCACCTATCAGCACCTGTACATAGTACAAACACTTCTGGGAGCTACACGCTTCCTCACATTTCTCTCACACAGACTCGTCTAGGACACAATGAGTGGCAAGGACTGTGATGACGTGTTTGTATGAAGTTCCGGTGACTGAAAGGAAGAAAGACTGTTTCTTCAAGAGGGAAACGTTCATTCAGCATGTAGTACTATTTGTAACAAGTAGGTTCACGGGGACAATGTCCGATAGGACAACATTTCATGACTAGACATGGTGACATCACGCTCAAGTTATTTCAACTCAATCTATGCCGCCATCAACACAGAGGACAAATACAAGACAGGACAATACTCATTTTCAGTTGGGAAGAAAGTCGTGTTAGGTGCTTTTCCAAAGGGCACAAGATCGGTGGCATGTCAGGACTTAAACCTGGGACCTTTTGGTTCCGAGTTGAGCCCTCTCCCGTTACGCCACACGACCCCACAAATCTTGCAGGACCTTTCCTGGTCAAGTTGTTCAGGGCAGCATTTCCTTAGCGTATATCCAACTTGTAACATTCTATGTTTGAGTTTTTTTCTCTTTATAATTCAGACGACCGCTTATTTGAGTGAAAAGATTGACACATATTTATTCAATTTCTCTTCCTACTATTACCCATCCCTCTTTCCATCGTAGTCTTACGACATTAGAGAAGAACATAGATCAGAAAGGCAGACAAGACTCAAGTTGTCTTTTTTATTATACTTATAAAACCATGTCATTTAAAGCTCTCAGAAGTAGCACAGGTTTGTGGGGACCAAAAGCTCTTCAAAACTGTCGGTACAAAAATTATCAAAAGTCATGTTGACACATTTGGTATGGCTTATGCAACAAGCTTGCTGTTCTCTTATACATGATCAATAAATTGTCATCATATGTACATATACAACATTCAGAGATTGCCAATATTGCTGTAGGGCATATTTGCATTGTCATTACATAATGTATGATGTACATTAGTAAAGGTGTGAGCTGCAAAATTACCAGATGCATTGCACAAAAACTTAATTATAATTGCTTATCCACACAAGTGTTCGTATACGTGCGCTGATATATTAATATGTGAACAAAAATACAACACAAATATACATATAGATGAAGAATATACCATATTGTTCAGTTTCAGATGGACTTTTCTGAAACTGTTAAAAGAGATTTTGATTGAAAATAGTTCCAATATTTGGCTGACCTGGTAGAAAGCATTGTACATGTATACATAAAGTAAACATGACTTAGGTCCCAAAACTGGGTAATTATATCCAAACATCTAAGTTTGATAACTTTATGATTATCATGTATTGTATAATCATTTGTCTTGTTCCATACAAAAATTGTATGCATAACTGTATTCATACAAATTATGAGTGTTTGATTTAAATAAATCTATAATGACGATATGTTTTGAATGACTCAGCTGTATCATTTGAATAAGTGTTTGTTTTCTTTTTTGTCCCATGCTGAGAAGTAAACAAACCGGCGTGTTTACCGAGTAAACAAGCTGCCATCGACCATCAGAAACTACTCGTCTTGAAAAAAGAGGTGTTGAAAGATTTATGTGGTACAAACAGTCAACACCTGGGCGGTGACTTTTACCTGTACAAGGAACAAAGACCAGGTGTTCGTACCTGTGATAGATATATGGCAGGTATACTTTCCAGACAAACAAGGAAGTGTTGACCGTACAACACCCTATCACACATTCAGAACCTTCCCCCAACCACTAATAACCAACTATGGTTAGCTAAAATTCGGGAGCAGTCTGACTAGATTTAGCATTAGGCTACGCCTTAAATTTCTACACGAATAGATTAGAATTTGGGTCAAACCTGACTTACAACCACGCCCCGACCACTGCCAACCTAATCCCGAACACCAGCCAACCACTAGCCAACCATGGTAAGACCTCCCGTCCACGCCTGAATGTTTTTAACATTTTGAAACATTTCACTGGCGGAGTCGAACATTAGCCAACCTCGCCGAACACCAGCCAACCACAGCCGACTTCCTCCCGACCTACTCCCAACTATGGTTGGGAAGAGATCGGCAGGGTTCGGGAGAACATATTCGGCTATGCGTGAAAGGCGCTTTTGTGAAGACGTCCAAACAGGTGTGTTACCTTTGGCGTGACCTAATGTGCGTTGACCCTACCCTGGAAACCAAGTACAGCAAATCCAATATAATCTACAGGGGGGTTGATTTTATGGTAGAAGCGTGCCGAATTGGGGTTGAACAGCGAGGAAACATCTGTTGGTTATGATAAAGATTTAATATCGCAGCAGGATTTTGACATGTATATGACTGTATTCAAGAATTTCTATTGCCGTAGACTTAATGAATCTTTCTTTGGGAAACGCTGTCCCGTTATATATTTACTATAATTTAGGAAATGGTCTAGTGAGTACGTACAATATAGAATGGAAATCTGCCTATCCAGAACTGAACAATTTTACAGATATCTATTGCTTTTGATAAAAATTTACGGGGATGTAATTGTCGTGGTTTGCTTGAGACAAACCAGGTGTGCCCGGGCGTGTTTTCCCGTAGCGCCGCTAAACGAGCCGACTGTTTGCCGGGGCTGTTTGCTCGGTCCCCCGCCTGTCATGCCCCGCTGGTTACCGTACATAAGTCTCTCACAACACGGGCAGGCGCTGTAACAATCCTCCGGCCTCCTTAACGACACAACAAAGGGAACCTGAACTATAGAGTCCTGTTTGTCTATGAGAATGCCTTAAGCTTGGCGCTGTAGTTAGTCTTTACCGTCTAACGTTGTTAGTACAACATTTGAACTGTGACAGGCGGAATGTTCTAATTATCGGGGATAACACACAGCTTAGTTTCCCATTCAAACCCCGGTATGTTGAACGTAAGCGGGGTGGTTTGCTTTAATGTGACGCTGTTACACTATGTCGTGCTGTAACGAGGGATTTAAGTTGATCCTGTTAACATTTGTTTAACAAGAAAAGAAAGGAGGGTCGATATTAGGGGAATTCCTGGACCAATAGACCAAAACTGCCAGCTATTTCTCAGTAATTTTTCTCCATGGGATAATTTTACCTTAGTGTTATGGTAAATTGCACACGTACATACAGCTCCAACATACGTACAGTCAACCGAACATCAAGAATCTGTCTTCAGGATATCTTACAGCACAATCTACCAAGACATACCATAGTCTTTAAGAAGTCCTGATTGCGCCATGTTCTTGTGGGTGTTCTCTTCATTCCTTGTTCGTCTTTCTTGTCTCGATCTGACGACGTCTTGTCCTTTGGGCGCATGCATGTTTGTGGACATGGGCAGAGATACTGCAATGTTCTTCCATACATACAGACCTTTGGCTTCTAACCTGTTAAAACAGTCCTCATCTTGATCTAGAAACTTTAAAGCCAAGGCGTTCTTTCCTCTTGCGTTGTTCATGGTCCTCGATATCTTGTTCTTTCGTTATATCTGTCGCCTGAAGAGTGTAAGAGACTCTTTGAGGAGTGTTTCTCTTGTATAGCGTCTTTAATCCTCTATCTCCGTTACAGTAGACAGTCTTCTTGGCGTGGACATTCCATTATAGTATGACTCCGTGTCTGAGAAGACGCTATCACCGTGAAGCAGAGCCTCGTCAGCCAGAGTCTGTAGATGTTTCAGCGTCGCCTCGGTGAAGCCGAACTGTACCGCCGCCTGCTCGTCTATGTCTACGTTGGAGTTGTTCCTCAGTAGAGCCGGGGCGGAGATGCGCTTGTTCGCGGCGTCGTTCTTCGGTGGGCTCAGGGTCACCTTGGGCGGAGTTACCGTCAACTTCTCTCTTGAGGAAGACTCGTTCTTGTTGTCGGTTTGTACGGAGATGGATCCGCGCTTGGGTTTGGAAAGCTTGGCGGGATCGAGTCTGAAACTGTCGCTTCTGTCACGGTTTTCCTTCGACTCGTCATCCGAGTCTTTCGACCCTCTCTTGGACCTGGCGGATCTCGGTCTCCTGTTGTTGTTGTTGTCTTCGGATGAGGACGCGTCAGTGTCGCGAGTCGACCCGCGGCGACTTGACAACGTTCGTGCGTCCGTCGCATCTAATTTCGACCCTTTCCCTTCTAAGTCTTTAAGTTTAGCGGATAGTACAGTTGTTTTAACGGACATGGAGCCTCTCTTTTTAAACTTTTGTAAAACATGTGCAGACAGTGGTTCATCCTTTTCGTCGGGAAGCTCAATCGTTGGTACCGCGGGAAGAGACCCCCGTTTCGCCCTGTGCAGCGTGCCTCCTAGTAAGGAGGCTCGGCGTTTGAACGAATCTCTCGCCGAGGTCCCGCCGGTCGATATGCCCTTCCTCCGGCCGCGGTCCGACAGCGCGTCCGACTCACTGTCCCCGCTCTCGCTGGGCGGCGGTGTGGGCATCTTAGGCGGAGGGACCGCGCTTTTCCGGTACGACGGCGAGATTTGGACCTCCAGTACTTTGTACAGACCCTGTAGCTCAGTTCTCCAGCTCGCCCGTGCCCTAATCGACCGCCAGTCACCACTGACAGAGGGGGAGGGGGTCGGGAGGTCGACACGGTTGGGCGCTGTCTTAGGCCGGAGGTGTAACAACGCGCTGGGCGGGCGGCTGCTACCCGGCCTGACCCCGACGGGCTCTCGTGGCTTAATCGGCGCACTCTGCGCTCTTGACGGCGGTCTAGGCTTCTCAACAACGTCTCTGAAACAGTTCATGTGCCTCAAGAATTTAGCTCTATGCACCTTCACTAAGTTATATTCCTCCTTGCTTGTCTTAAGATACGTCTCTTCCTTGGGTGTCGGTTCGACGTGTCCTATCTTCATCATGACGTCGATCACCCCCGAGTGGCCGTTTTTGGCGGCCTCTAGTAGCGGGGAAACCCCGGCCATGTCCCTGACATTGATCGGCTGGTCGTACCGCAGTAACCTCACCACAAGTTTCTTCGCGATTTCAGTCCTTCCTTTCGCTGCGGCGTGAAACAAGGCCGTCCTGCCCTGCCGGTCTTTCCTGTTCAAGTCAAAGTCAGCAGCGCCTAGTAGAGCGTCAACGAGCCCCTCCGATCCCGCGGAACACGCGTAGCTGAGCGCGTTCCGTCCCGCTCGGTCCACAGGCCCGGCCCGTGCGCCGTGCTCCAGCAGCATCTTAGCCATGCCGACCCCGAGGTCCTGCCGCAGGCACAGGGCGCAGCAGATGAGCGGCGTGCGGCCCTCCTGGTCCCGCCTGTTCACTGGCACGCCTCCCTCCTCCACCATCTCTCTCACCTGGCTGAACAACCCCTGAAGTATCGCCTCTTGTAGCGTAAGCTCCTCCACACGAGCCGCGTGCCCCATGGCTGGTCTGGTCGTCAGGCTCTCCCAGTAGAAAGTTCACGGCGTTTAACACGCTTCCACGACCGTTCAGTTCCTCATCGGTGCCGACTCGGTTTCGGGTTTTACCCCCGACCGTATGTCCGTGACGGCGTCTGCGGGCGGACGTCCGCTACTTCCCCGTAGAAGGGAAAGTCGTTCCAGACGGTCCGTGTCCCTCCCTAACGCGATTAGCTAACGAGGAGAATGATCTTCACCCCACTAGTGTGCGGAACTAGACGTGTTAATACCTGAGTGAATCATGCCCCTCTCACCGTGCACATTACTGTTTCTCCAGGCACGGATTAGCCGCTTTACTCCGCCTGGCAAAATAACCGCGTTGCCCAGCAGCAGCCCTGCCCGCGTCGTCACCACAGTTCTCTGTTTGCCGTCACACACAATCTCAAACACCTGCGCATTGAGAAACAAGTTGAAAACATTTGGGATGTACCATCTGGCAAATGGGAAGGAGGGCTTAAATTTTTAAATTTTCTTTTTTCATTCCTTTCTTCTGAAACATTTGTACACCTGCACGCGTTTTCTCCATACGGATATACATGTACAATTTCCAACCTAGCGAATTTCTAACGTTAACAAGCAAGAAACAGTTGAGAAAAATCCGGTACATCCCGATTTTCTCAATGTATCAGTCATTTTAAAGACGGAGGAAGCACGGTACATGCTAGCGGCGTCAGAAAACGGATGTATACGTAGTGAAGTACTGCAGGAATGCCGGGTGTTGACACAGGCACTGTGTCGTCTGATTCATCGTCATAAGTCGTCCGTGAGGTTACCTCATGACGTCACACGGAGCAGTGCCGTCACCGGGGGTCAAATCCATTGTCTGGTGGTCCTTTCAACGTTTGCTTTAAGGCTTAAGTGATTTCTTGCCCTCTTAAGTAACCCCAGAAAGTAAGACGTGTTCCGTCTTACATCCGTTTTGTTGTTTTAGTCCATGACAGGTTGTCATTCTTTCTCTTGTTCTCTGCTGTAGACAGCTATAAAGGGAAAACGACCGAAGGCGACGCCTAGTTTCACGTTTCAGAAACACTGCATTTTTTTTATTGAATAAAGCAATACAAATACAAAGACGAAGTGGGACTGAAATCAAGTTATACAACATATTTTACAGCCATACGTAACGGACCTGATTTTGTTTTGTAAAAAAAGATGCACATTTTGCATCCAAAATTTTCCATATCCACAGTTGCAAGCGAGTGTTTGGGTTAAAAACGTATCTTTTTCACAGAATGACATTTCTGGGTTGTGTCGTGAAACAGCGAATGGGCCTAAATCTGCCCGTATCGCCGTACCAATTAGTTGAGTTTGTATTTGTGCCCGCTATAATGGATAACCAGGGGGTGAAGAGAATATGTTATCGGTATATTTACCTACCCCTGCCGACTCGTCAAGCCACGATAACACCCAGGACACGGCCAAATTGACTCCAAAACAAACTTGTACAGGCGCTAACCAATCATTAATCACCACCAAATACCGTTAACTTCAAACCGCTGCCTGTGATACACTTGTTGGGCTGTTTACCGTGGATTCGTTACCGAGAAAAGAACGCTAAGTCTGTTCTAACAGTACGATAAATGTTATCTCGGTTGTTACGTTTATAAGGGTTATCTGGAACTGTTATCGTATCAGCTTCAATTGTCAGTAAACAGCAATAAGGAAGCGTTATAATTTCTTTTTCCGTTGTTTTGAATCATAAACAGAACATATACAATGATTTTCCAACATAGCCGTGTACGTGAGCAAGAGTGTATAGTTTCTACTGTTGCATGGTTATGTGAAACCTGGTATTATGCAATATGTCTCTCCTTTCCCCCTACAAGAGCTCGCAGCTAACCGCCCCTTGAGATGCCATATCGGACTGTGTCAACTCGGCAGGGCACTACTGACCCTGGGTCAATATTTGGACAGCTTTCATTCGCGCGATTCCGGCCGAGTCGACTAATTAGCGAATAAAGATGGCGGTCTCCAGCGGCATGGCAACAAAGCTTGGGACCACGCCGTCGTCATGACGACCATGGACGCTAAGGGAGGGCACGCACGGGTGGATGGGATATTGACTCCTAATAAACTATGGACCTCGGCTGGGTGTCAGATACTTAACATTCATCGACAAAGAAAATGTCTATGATCAACGAGATGAACGTGTAATACAAAGAATATATGCTACAAAGAAATGAAGGAGTGAAAGACTGTTCTGTGGACTTGTGACACATGGTAGGCTAGAGTACACACTTGGGGTTTTCTTCATAAGACGGTTGACAACCTCTCTCTTCGAAAAGACGCCTAATAAGACAGGAGCAATTGGTGCGTGGAGAATCTAAGACGAACAAAGAAGGAGACCATTCTCCAACAGTTAGAGTAATCACGTACGCCTGTCCCCAGGACGACTCTGTGTGGAGTACTGTGTTTACAGACGTGTTGGAGTGGATTTTTTTCTTTCAACACACTCGGGTAGAGAAGCACGTCCCAGTGGAAATAAAATTGAGGAAAGGAGAGAGAGCAAAGAAGAACAGAGCCAGCTACAGGTACTATTAAGATGAGCGGTGCCAGAAGGACTTCCTCACAACTCGCTGCTTCTCGAGACTTAGTCATCTTCTTATTTTTGGTCGTATGTCGTTATTTTTCATCGCTACTTTCTTGACAGCTACGATATAAATCTTCCTCTTCTGATGTTGTTTTACGTAAGCTATTTTTTAAACTTCTAGATTTAAACCAACATATTACAATATGGTTTTGATATTATCGACTTTGGGGGCATCTGCCTAAAGAAAGAAGAGATATTTTGAAAACTTCTTCAACTTCTATGCACGCGAGGATGTTATCCATACAAGCCAGCTCATGTGGCCTTAGTGGGAGGGGCAGCGATTGTTGAGTCAATTTCTGTTCTACAAGTACGGAAGGGGAGAACACCTTACAGTACGTGATTACGTCTCAACTAAGAAGTGTTTCAGATCAAACCTACTCTTACATGTCTTAACGTGCGTCTGAAGTGTCTGTACGTGGCACTTCAAGTAGGCAACATACAGCTGGGTATAGTGTTGGAAACTTAAGGGTAATACTTGAGGAGGCGGAAGTACAACTTGTCTCACACAAGCTCACGTTCAAGTGGGCTTATAGAGTTGTCATTGACTAATATAATACACTCTTTCATGTGTATAGATGCATATATCATAGTGCACGTGTCTTCAAACAGATGCGTGCTTTTACAGTGTTTGTGTGTACGCGCCTATGTGTTTTATATGAAAGGGTTTGTTCCATTGTAGAACAGAACAGTAGTGACAAATGAGTAAGGTATTATGCAAAATGACCATTTGAATTTGAAAGATAAGATAGATAAAATCGGCACCAATTACTGTAGTAGGTCATTCGTCACGTAAGATGTACGTGTCGTGATAAACAGGGCCGCCAGAGGACGCTAGTACATAGTGAGTGAAGAGACCACATTATCATATATAAATGTCTCATTCACTAATCAACTCGTTACCTCTGACAATTGCTGATTTTGTTTACATGATGCACATGCAAATTATTTGAAGACATATGCAAATTATTGATAGGCGAATCAACCCACCGTCACACGCTTTTTGCCCCCCGTGACGTCTGGCGATCGCTCGTAATTACACGCTCAATATCCCACCGCTGACACCATGTGTAGGGGGGGCGAGATATAGAAGTCTTCACACAGCGGATGTACACTCCAGACTGACTCTTTTTGACCTTAATCAAGACCAGATGAGGTACAGATCTCATCGCTTCGGTTTCTATTCCCAACACTTCATGGAAACCGTCGGAAAGATTTAAATTCACTATTGTCCCTTGCCGAATGTTTCCCCCAAATGGATTGCTCACCTTGTTTCCATAAATCCGACGGGAGATCTACGCTTGTGAAGGTTTGAAATTCGCGCTGTACATATCGTTCTGTAGCTCTGTCTGGCGCCGCCATGTTTGGTCCTCATCCGGGCACTTTGACTCAGGCGAACAGAATCATGACGTCAGATTAAAACACGCGGGACCAAACTTTGGAATTCGCGCGAAAGTGTCACTCAGTCATAATAATTCATAGGAGACAGGGAATACTTTGTATGTGCCTTTATGTTATTTCTAATTAGGTGCAACTACACTCGATCTCCGTTTCATTGAGACAAAATGTGATCTTTATCATGAGGTATGAAATAACTTATGTTGTCCTTAAGTACGCCGTCTTCGTTAGGAAGAGACGGCGTGCGCCCTTAAGTACGCCGTCTTCGTTAGGAAGAGACGGCGTGCGCCCTTAAGTACGCCGTCTTCGTTAGGAAGAGACGACGTTGCTTGGAAACAAATGTGGTTACCAGTACTATTTGAAATGCGGTTACAAATGAAAATGGCGAAGATTGAACGTAGTAACCGTACTCAGTGAGCCGGAGTATGTTCTGTCTTTGTGTCGAAGACTGTGGCCACTTTGTCCCCCTTAGAGACCGAGGACGTGCGGATGAGCTCGAAGGCTCCACTGCGGGTGACGACAGGTTTGTCTCCGGCGGGAGTTTTCGTCGAGCCCGTCTCGGATGGAACTTCAGCTTTTGCGAGCAGAGACTGCCGCGGGCTGGGCAGCTTAGGCCGGTTCACCTTCCCGGGTTCTTCCGTCCGAAGCGGCGCTCTGCTGGCCCCGGCCTTGGCCGAAGAACTCCCGCGGGTGGGTGACTGCGACCCGGAGTTGCCGAAAGAATTTTTGGGCGACAGCAGAGGCGACGCCATGGCAGCGGTTCTTGAGGGCGACCGCGTTCCTTTCTTGGCGCCGCGTGGGGATTCGCGTGCCGTCCTCCAGAAGGGCGACCCCGAGCCCGACTTGCGAGAGGATTGGGAGGAGGTCGTGCTTCTTCGGGAAGGCTTGCGCTTCACCGTGCTCCGCTCCGACGTCGGGCTTGGAGGCGGTGGCGGTACGGCTGGCTTCCGGTAGGACTTCGACAGAACGACGGACCTGATGGGGCTGAGCTGCTCCAGCATCCTCCACGACGTCAGCCGCCCGCGATGTTTCCTGCGTTCTCCGTCTACCTGCAAGGCGGCGCTGCTAGCAGGCTCACCCGGAGTTGAGAGATGCACACGAGTGGCGACGGACATTGCCGATACCGGATGAAGTGATCGTTCGGACATTTCCGTGGGCACGCGGCGATCTCGGGTGACGAGTTCTTGGGTTTGATGGTGAGTGCTGTACAAGTGCATGTTCAGGTGGGTTGGAGGCTGGGTCTGCCGGCCTGAAAAACAGCAATGCGATACTGTTAGCATGAATCGAAATTCATCTGTACTATCCTGGTAGGTTTTCCCTGGCTCCTCCAATGGCTTATACCTGGGCCAGATTATTCAAGGAAAAATCAATTAACCCAATTACAAACACACATGTATATAAAATGTACTATACAAAGTTATCTTTTAGTACAATGTACTTTACTTACAATATACACTTCTTTGTACCAAAGTAAGTACACCTACCCAAATCTTAACCCTTACTACAAAGTTACAGGATTCGTCTGGTTGATTTTTATCAAGGGATATGGTTGACATCGGTATTTCAAGGAGTTATTGCCAAAAAGGTCGTTATTCGAATTCTACTTGTGTTCAATTTAAGGTTTAGCCATTGTAGAGTGAAGTTCAAAGGCCATGCTTATCACTGATAGTTAATAAGTACATGTACCTGCGTTGTACCCCACCCAAAGTACACAAATGTCGTACGTAAGTAGAATGCGGTCACCACCGACCAATGGCAGTCTTTGAGTGAATCATGTGACATCAGTCATGTCACCGAAACTACCTTCCGAGAACCAGGCAGAATAGCGAGTGCGATAGAACCGACCAGTCTACCGTAAAGTCGTACGTAGCGTCTATCAAAGAAGACTTACTTGTTTACTATAACTATCGTCGAAGATCAAGATGGCAAGTAAGATGGCAAGTGACGAGTTTGACGAAGAATTCTTGACGTGTCAAGTCTGTATGCTGCACTTCCGGGACCCCAAAATCCTGCCATGTCTGCACACATTTTGTAAGGTATGTCTCGAAGAATGGGCGACAAAACAACCGCCGCTGGAGTGTCCAATCTGCCGCATACCGGTCAGTCTACCAGACCAAGGTGTGGACGGGCTCAAGACCAACTTCTACGTCAACAACCTGTTGGATTTCGTGGCGGCGAAGAAAGGGGCGGAGCCAGGTGTGCCGTGCCAGGTGTGCGAGGGGAATGTGGAGGGGTCAAAGTCGTGGTGTGCAGATTGTGCTGTGTTACTGTGTGAGTCCTGTGCAAAAATGCATCGCAAGATTCCTGCTGCGAGAGACCATGAACTTGTTACACAAGACGTTATGGCGGCAAAAGATGGAACGGATAAATTTCAGCGCAAACGACACTGTGACAAGCACAAGAATCAGGAACTTGTGTTTTACTGCGAGAGCTGCCAGGCTTTGGTTTGCACAGCGTGTACCGTAATCGACCACCGACCGGGCAAAGATCACAATCCGGTAGAAATCACCACCATCGCTCAGAAGAAGAGAGAAAAGCTACAAGAACTTCTGCAAGAGATCAATCCACGCCAGAAAGAAATACAGGCCTCTATCGAGGAAGTTGACAAGAACATGTCGAAGCTTATACCCTCAAAAGAGGCAGCCACAACCCAAGCTGAAGAATATTTTCGCCAACTTGCTGACCTTGTAGAAAAACGGAAACAGGAAATTTTGAGCCAGATTGACGAACAATGCCGAGCCGACGGCAAGGCTCTACAAACAAAGAAGGAAGCGATAGAATTTGAGTTGGCCGGACTGACGAGCGCACAGACGTTCTGTCAACAAGCTGTGGAACACGGAAGTGACGTGCACGTTTTGGAGGTGGGGAACCAAGTCCAAACAAGGGTGGAAACTCTTCTGGCAAAAGAACTGGACCTGGAGTCCAACTATAGCGAGTTTCAGTTCGTAGAGAACACGGCTGTCGCTGACTTTGCAAAAGAAGTTGAAAACCTTGGTGGTTTAAGTTCAGACACCGACGTTTCGAAGTCTCACGTTGTTGTTAGGCCGGCAGTCGAGGGGTTTCAGTGTGTCGCTGTATTGACGACAATGAACAAAAAGGGACGCCCGTCTGTCGTAAACAGTAACGCTGTCACAGTCAACATGAAGGATCCGTCTGGAACAAGCCTACCGACAAGACTACAGAAGAAGAGCGGGGGCACATGGGAAATCTCGTACGTACCCAAGGTCATTGGTAACCACAGGTTAGAGGTCAAAGTTAACTCCCAACAGGTGGCAGGAAGTCCGTTTGATGTTAAAGTGCAGAGTAGGGACACACCTGTGTTAACTATCGGACGGCAGGGTAGTGGGGTGGGGGAACTGGACAGGCCGATAGGGGTCGCGGTTGATCGGGACGGTAACATCGCTGTGGTGGAACAGGGGAACAAGCGGGTTCAGATATTTGATGTAAACACAGGACAGTATTTGTGCACATTCCCAGTTGAAGGCGAGAGGCCATTCGGTATTGATGTGGACTCGAGTGGAAGGTTTCCAGTGACGTCGTGGGGCAACAATTACGGAGTTAGATTTTATTCAAAGGAAGGCGAACTTCTGAACACATTCAGTCCTGGCTGCATGAAACATCCACTTGGGATAACAGTACTGAAAGACGGCCGCATGGCGGTGTTAGACAACATTCAGAAGTCCTGTCTCCTCCTGCGGCATGACGGGAGTCTCATCCGGGAGATCGGCAAGGGGAAGCTGCAGAAACCATACTTCATAGCTGTTGATGAGTCACGTGACAAAATGTTTATCACCGACTTAAATGCTCATAAAGTGTTGGAGTTTGATCTTAAGGGGAATTTCAAGTTCAGTTTCGGCGAGAAAGGTCAAAGCGAGAGACAGCTCTCAAGTCCGACAGGTATAGCATTAGACCAGACAGGTAACATCATTGTAGTGAATCTTGATGACGGCCGTGTACAGGTGTTCAGGCCTGACGGGACCTTCAGACGGACTGTAGCGACAGTTCGGGGAAAACATCCCTTCGGAATAGCGTTGACTCCTGACGGCTACATGGCTGTAGCTTGTTTCAATGGGAATTGTATAGAGATGTACAGGTACTGCTGATATAGCTTGGTCAGCTTAATGGACATGAATATGTTTGAAATGTTGATTGTGCACGTTTTCATTTAATGCTGTTCCACTTGTTAATTCATAATACATGTTTAAATTGGAACTTCTTTAGATTAGCGTTGTTGTACAGGGTATTTCACTGTTTTATAAAAATGTACAGATACTGGTAATGTATTATAATCAGCTTCATGGACATGAAGATGTTTAAAAACACTAGCTATTGTGTGAACAATTTTCATTTCGTGCTTTTTCACTTGTTAATTCGTAGCACATTTAGTGTTTGGTAACAAGGAATAGATTTAGTATGCTACTACTTCTAATTATACGAAAAGTGAGAAAGCGATACATGTATACAGCCAGTAAAAGGCATAACGTATTCAGGGGGCAATGTCTGTGACCTCTACCATGTGTCTCCATATTATTTTCTATGATGTGTAACATTAAGAATCATATTAAAGAAGGTGTCAACATTGGCGACCAGTTTCCTATTTATTTTGTCAGCATGCTACTCTTCTGGTACCTATAAAAGTTCACTTTCGTTAGCAAAGGGCTGTCTTAAAAGCAATAATGTAACAGAACTTTTTGCAAGTGTCATAACAAGTTGAAATTGCTCAACGAGGTACTTTCCTACAAAGTCCCCGTGTTCAGTCAGGTTTTGGGTGGGGTCCAAAGGCCATGCTTATCACGGATAGTTTTTCTTTCCCACTCTTAATAACGTTATACCCTACCAAGTACACAAACGTCGTACGAAAATGAAATGTGGTCACGGCCGTTGTACCCCACCTAATTGTATTTAGTATACAAACTGCGTCGTACAAAAATAGAATGCGGTCACCATCGACCAATGGTAGTCTTTGTGTGAGTCATGTGACATCAGTCAAGTCACCGAAACTACCTTCCGAGAACCAGGCAGACTCCAGTGCGACAGAACCGTACAGTCTGACGTAAAATCGTGAAGTAGTGTATATTGAAGAAGGCTTACTTGGTTACTATAACTATCGTCTAAGATCAAGATGGCAAGTAAGATGGCAAGTGACGAGTTAGACGAAGAATTTCTGACGTGTCAAGTCTGTATGCTGCACTTCCGGGACCCTAAAATCCTGCCATGTCTGCACACATTTTGTAAGGTATGTCTCGAAGAATGGGCGACAAAACAACAGCCGCTGGAGTGTTCAATCTGCCGCATACCGGTCAGTCTACTAGAACAGGGTGTGGACGGACTCAAGACCAACTTCTACGTCAACAACCTGTTGGATTTCGTGGCGGCGAAGAAAGGGGCGGAGCCAGGTGTGCCGTGCCAGGTGTGCGAGGGAAACGTGGAGGGGTCGAAGTCGTGGTGTGCAGATTGTGGCGTGTTACTGTGCGAGTCTTGTACTGCCATGCACCGCAAGATTCCTGGTACAAGAGACCATGAACTGGTTCCACAAGACGTCATGACGGCAAAAGATGGAGCGGATAGATTTCAGCGCAAACGGCACTGCGACAAGCACAAGAACCAAGAACTTGTGTTCTACTGTGAGAGCTGTAATGCTTTGGTTTGTACAGCGTGTACCGTAATCGACCACCGACCGGGCAAAGATCACAATCCGGTAGAAATCACCACCATCGCTCAGAAGAAGAAAGAAAAGCTACAAGAGCTGCTACAAGACATGGACCCACGTCTGAAGGAAGTACAAGCGTCTATCGACGAAGTTGACAAGAACATGTCAAAGTTAATCCCTTCAAAAGAGGAAGCCACAACTCAAGCTAAAGCATATTTCCGCCAACTTGCTGACCTTCTGGAAAAACGTGAAGAGGAGATTTTGAGGCAGATTGACGAACAGTGCCGAGCCGACGGCAAGGCTCTACAGGCAAAGAAGGAAGCGATAGAATTTGAGTTGGCCGGACTGACGAGCGCACAAACGTTCTGTCAACAAGCTGTGGAACACGGAAGTGACGTGCACGTTTTGGAAGTGGGAAACCAGGTCCAAACAAGGGTAGAAAGTCTGCTGGCAAAAGAACTGGACTTGGAGTCCAACTGGAACGAGTTTCAGTTCATAGAGAGCACGTCCGTCGCAGACTTTGCGGAAAAGGTTAAAAACCTTGGTGATTTAGGTTCAGTCATCGACGTTACGAAGTGCCAAGTTGTTGTAAAGCCAGCAGTCGAGGGGTTTCAGTGTATCGCTGTACTGACGACATTGAACCAAATTGGACGTCCGTCTGTCACAGAAAGTATTGCTGCCAAAGCCAACATGAAGGACCCGTCTGGAGCAAGCCTACAGACGCAACTACAAATGACGAGCGGGGCCGTGTGGGAAATCTCGTACGTACCCAAGGTCACGGGCAACCACAGGTTAGAGGTCAAGGTTAACTCGAAAGAGGTGGCAGGAAGTCCGTTTGACATTGAAGTGCAGAGTAGGCACACACCTGTGTTAACTATGGGACAGCAGGGTAGTGGGGTGGGGGAGCTGGACATGCCGGCAGGGGTCGTGGTTGATCAAGACGGCAACATCGCTGTGGTGGAACAGCGGAACAAGCGGGTTCAGATATTCGATTTAAATACGGGACACTCTTTGCGCACATTCCCAGTTGAAGGCAAGTTGCCATACGATATTGATGTGGACTCTTATGGAAGGTTTCTAGTGACGTCGTTCGGCAACAATTACAGAGTAAGATGTTACTCAAAGGAAGGCAAACTTCTGAACACATTCAGTCCTGGCTGCATGAAACAGCCACTTGGGATAACAGTACTGAAGGACGGTCGAATGGTGGTGGCAGATATCTCTGAACAATCCTGCTTCCTCCTGCAGTATGATGGGAGTCTCATCCGAGAGATCGGCAAGGGGAAGCTGCAGAAACCACGGTTCACAGCAGTGGATGAGTCACGTGGCATGATTTTTGTCACCGACTACACTTTTAACAAAGTGTTTGTGTTTGACCTTGAGGGGGAATTCAAGTTCAGTTTCGGTGAGAAGGGTGAGGGCGAGGGACAGTTCCGAAGTCCAATGGGTATAACGCTAGACCGGGCAGGTAACATCATTGTAGTGAACTATGAAAGTGGCCGTGTACAGGTGTTCAGGCCTGACGGGACGTTCATACGGACTGTGATGACAGTTAAAGGTAAATGTCCTCACGGAATAACACTCACACCTGACGGCTACATAGCAGTAGCTTGTTCCAAGGGACAGTGTATAGAGATGTACAGGTACAACTGATAAGTACACGTACGTCCATGATGTTTACAAGATACGACAAGTGGGGTCGTGTGGCGTAGCGACAGAGTGCTCGACTCGGAACTAAGAGGTCCCGGGTTCGAGTCCTAACATGCCATCGATCTTGTGCCCTCGGGAAAGGCAGTTTACACGACTTTCCTCACTTTGCTCAGGTGAAAATGAGTATTGTACTGTCCCCTGTGTTGGTGGCGGCATTAATATAAGTTGAAAATCTTGAGTGTGCCGTCACCACATCTTGTGAAATATATATATAAAAAAAGATACGACATTTGAACATCTCTTTGAGAGCCTGGTGTATAGCATGCAGAGTTTTGTGTTTAAAATTCTTAAAATAGGTCAAATGAGATTGGTTTTTTTTATGCAAATGTATACAATTTGAACTTCTCTCTGTCAAACGCCTATACAAATATAGCTTATAATTACCAATAATATTTTTTGACTTGTATCAACAAACAAAAAAGGACGATGCAAGCACTGTCTATGACCTTATTGGGTAATCTCCAAGCAGATCTTGGGTGGGGAAATGGTTGCAAACTGGCCAATTTGATACTGTCTTAATTACCCCTACCAAAAGATCTGCTTGGAGATTACTTAACTTATTGGGTACATTATGTGTGTCCTAACGTATGATAATGGAGTGACTCTCACCTTCTGAAAGCACGTGACAGCATTCCTGGAATCCCAGTTTACGGCCCAGCCCGTAGGGTGTCAGTCCCAGGTTGTTGGGCTCACTCGTTCCCAGGTGAAACTTGCCGAGGGCACGGGTCATTGACCGCACAATGTCGGGATTACCTGACAATACTGTACATGTACAAACTTTGATGTTTAAATATCTGATGATTATATGTACACAGAATTCATAAAAACTACCAGTTATGAATTATCATGATACATTGTACTTGTTTTGGTTCTCAACTTATTGCTTAGAAATAGATTAGGATACAAATAGATACGCCAAAAACAGTTACTCAAGCAACTGGATATGATTTTGGAATTTATGAATATGATATCCAGTTGCTTGTCATGAGTAACTGTTGTTTTTTGGGCGTATCTTATTACCTGGATATCACTGACGATACAAATAGATTACTTGGATAATTTGTTAATTTAAAAGGGGCAGGAGACAAATTGAACTTTATATGTCAGAAAATACATATAAAACAGAGGACTAGCATATATTGGTATGTCTTTTTTCTTCGTAACGAAGCAAAATTTGAACCAGTTCCAAATCCATACATGTACAACACATGTACTAATGCCAGAAGTATTACATTGAAACATACACGGTAAACTATGCTATCAAGGAAATTGCCATGCATGGCAAGAAAAGGTCCCCGCCTATACCTGCATGATGTAGGGCAGTGTTGCCGTCCTTGTCCTTCGCGACCAAGTCGAAGTCGACGCACTCGGGCTGTAGGTACAGCTCCACCAGGCGGCGCCTGCCGGTAAGACAGGCGTGCATGAGGGCGTTCCGTCTGGACGGGTCCGCCAGTCCCACGTCAGCTCCACGGCTCAGCAGCAGGTGGGCACAGTGCTGTGTGTCATAGAAACGGGTTACATCATTATTGGATATCAACACTTATTTTCAACCGCAGTCATTAAGTAATTTACCGACTAGATGAACTTTGATTATGTTAACCAAAGGAAAACATATCGTTTTTCCTCGGTTTCCTCTTTCTAAATTCTCCAAACCAATAAGGTCAATGACCGGGACAAGACGTCTCTCACCATGGTAAATGGTGTACATCATGTTGCAATTTTGAAGACGAGTGGTGTTTGTCCTGAAATTATTTTCCGAAATTTATCCAGTAGAGTTTGAATTTCCGATGAGTATGACACCTCACCTGTCCTCTGGACTCGTCCTCGATGTAGCAGCAGAGAATGAGTGGGGTCTGCCCGCGCTCGGTGGCGGTGTCCACGTTCAGCCCCGCCCGCACCAACAGGTCCAGGTGCCGGTAGTTCCCCTTCTCTAGAGCCGCCGCTACAGACATTTCACCGTACACCGAGACTTACCCTGGCTGCCAGACTAGTATCGGGCCGTGAGCAGTTTCCCTTCGGCTGCCAAGAGCCCTTCGCCCGCCTATCTACCGCTGCGGGGGAGTCGAGCCCGTACGTGGGGGAGGCCAGTATGTCGGGGAGGGCGGTATATATATATTACACACTAAAACCCACGGAGTCTGGCATCCAGGGTAAACCGAGACTCAAACATTCAGACTGGGATAAAATCTCAATCAGACAGTAGAATTTTTCCTCCCTGCACTCTTGTTTAAATTGGCACCTTACTTCGGTTGGGGAGGTAAAAGACCGCGGTCGCCTGCCAACGCTGTGCCCTAGACCTCAGTCATAGCCCACTGCTCTTCTTAAGGCCTGAAAAAGGCTTTAGAACTGTCTATACCTTAGCCGTACTCTTTCGCACACGAGAAATCTCTTACCCCGCCACACAATATTGTTAGGATAAGTCTGACTCAAAGCACACACATACGCAAAAACATCGTGAAATTCTGACAGGCTTTTTTGTATTAATGATTGATAAGCTGACGTCACTTACGTTAATTACATTTCCTTTAATTACAATAGGCAACTTCTCACAAGGCACGTTGGTTGTGTATGAAATATAATAACGAGAAATTGCAATCTGTCATCTTTAAGTTTTGACAGTTTTCCGGTGGTGTACGTGCAAAACAAACCTGGAGTATTTGCACTAAGACATACGTCAGTTTGCGTACATAAGTGTCCTATTTCTGCCAACACAACAGTGATATTTACACTAAATGAGCTTTAATTTTCCTAATGGAGTTAGGACTCAAAGGGATGGGGTCTTGGGGGATTTTATATGGTCGTAGCAAGGACAGAAAGGTCATTCATTAAAACATATTGTGCCCTGTTTTTATGTCATGTCTGATCATTCGGCAAAGCACGTGTTCATTGGCTACATACAACACAATACATTTTGTATAATGGTCCAATTTCTCAAACATATTAAACGTTATGCACTCTAGAAGTCCGTTCAATAGGGGTGATGCCCAAGAATAAACTCGCGTATCCGGCAACAAAATTATTTTGCATCTGTTTAACTTTACACCAAATGTTCTTTATAGTTTCTTTCCCAGAGCCGACAACACTTATCCAAAGTGTTTTGTACGATTAATCGGACTGGGTAGCTTATTGACGATTGGTATGACACAGCCTCCCTACGGTTGCCATGGCAGCGGCTGTCACCAGGACAACCGGGTCCCGGGATGAGGGGACTCCCTCAGCTGACGTCATGATGACGTCATGCACCATAACAGGTCAGCGGAGGTCAGCCACGTTGTCGGCTCGCCTGTAACCGGATCCCCGCCGCTCAGCCAATCAGCGCGCTTCATTCCGCTCGCACCTGCGTGGTGGCGGCATCCAAGATGGTCGACCGGGAGAAGACGGAGCTGTACCGGCAAGCCGTCCGCATCGTTTTCCTGTGTTCCGTGTGGTTCACGATCAGCTCCGGCGGTAATGTGATCAATAAGCTGCTGCTGAATGACTTCCCGTACCCGATCACGGTGTCCATGATGCACGTGCTGTCCGTGTGCATGTATCTCGGCCCCATCATGCGGATGTGGCGCGTCCCCCTACAGAAACCAGTTGAGTCAGGCTACTACATGAAGATGATCGTACCGCTGGCCGTGGGGAAGTTCTGGGCTTCCGTGTCCGCTCACGTTAGTATATGGAAGGTGCCGGTGTCATACGCACACACAGGTGAGGTTTGATGAAGTTTGGTATCAATCTACCACAGTTACGATACCCGCAAGTCAGCATCAACTGGGACCATATGTTTTGTTCCCCTAGTAATAGACAACAGTGTCTAGACTACTCAAACTGAGGTTTTGGGCTGCTGCTACTTATTAATGTGATGGATATTGTGAAATATTTTATAGGAGGAAAAGTTGATTGTGAAGAGGAAAGGTGGTTCCATCACTAGTATCTTCTTCTGAGTGAAGGGATTTCTCTCTGTAAAAATCTATAATTATCAGCTGATTTGTGAAATAATATCAATATCAATAAAGAATGAAATCATTGAATTTATGAAATAATGTCAATGGTGTGATTTTAGTAATGTTGTGATTTTTTTCCTATTTCCAGTGAAAGCTACGATGCCCATATTTACAGTTATTCTCTCCAGACTAATAATGAGAGAAAAGCAAACAACTAAGGTAAGTTACTACACTCATCTGGTGATTCCAAAATACACATGATAAAAAATTCTTCTCCACACATGCCACTAGATGATCTATTAAAAAATCAGGGATTTCAAACTTTTGTATCTGTATCAATTTAGCCGGTATAACCGCCCTTCGGCATAACACACCAGCTTCGCAGGCACGCGGCACGGCGGCAGACTGACAGCTAGCTAAAATATCACACTTTGGGTTTTCGTGACCCTCAAGTTCACCCCATTTCCTGTGTCTGATCTTTTGACCTCCTGTCAAGCTGTCAAGCTTCCCTCCACTCACATGCCGTCAAACTACTAGTACTATCGTCCAGACAGACACACAAACCCACAGCTCATCTACCCAAAACAATACTTCCATACCCAGAAGTAATCACACTTCACAGTATTTGTATCTCAATTTAGCCAAGGAGCTTCCACAAGCTCCTTGATTTAGCACAGTCGCTCATTGTTGTTGCTCCAGGTAACACAATTATATACTGTGCCTTTCCCACAGGTGTACTGTTCACTCATGCCCATCGTCCTGGGTGTGCTGGTTGCCACGGTGACAGAGCTGTCCTTTGATCTGATTGGCTTAATTAGTGCCCTATCGGCGACAATCACATTTGCTCTACAAAATATTTTCTCCAAAAAGGTGAGTGAATTTACAGTGGAAATTCAGTTAAGTCTTTGGCAGAACATCTCATATGAGGTCGTATTCGCACATATAAGATTAAGATCCCATCAGTAATTTCCAAACTTTGTGTCATTAAAGATATTGTCTGCAACAGGCAAAATTCTGATCCAACGTTAACCAAACATCCAACGAAAACGGTGAAAAATCCTGGTTTCTTGCAGGTGCAGTACATTGTGCTTAGCACATGCTGGTTTGAAAACATGTGCTTTGTTCTTTCCCAATTCCCCAGGCACTAAGGGAGACAGGGATGCATCACTTGAGGCTCTTACATGTGTTGGGAAAACTGGCAACACTCTTCCTTCTGCCCATCTGGATCATCATGGATGGCAGCAGGTTCCTGACAGAAGAAAGTTTGGTAAGTTACAGTTGCTGTAGTGACAACTCCCTCTAGCAGTTTGTTGTGAAACAGCAACTGACCACAGGCTTTCTTGATACCTGTACTGCTTTCTCTGGTCAGAAGGGAGGCTGGTAAGTTGTAGCAACTATACCTGTTCTGTTGATATTTTCAGGACAATAAATTATGGAAAATAAGACTTCTATTGTACACAAGTCATTATACCCAACAAGAGCAAGCATTGTTAAGCAAAGTTATTGTAGTTATGCACTGCTTCAGAAAGGGAAACCTTGCTAGGCAGAAGCAGCTACAGTAACTCACTGTTTCGTAGTCACTTGCGCCCCCTAACAACTCTGTGTGAAATAGCACCTGGCTGTACAGCTCTCTCATGTCAGGAAGATTGTTGGGTGTTGAAACAAATTAGTGAGTCATCGATCATGGTAAACTGCTCCCCTTGGTGACAGTGTTTGAATTCAATCTGAAATGTAAGGTACTGTGACCAAATATTGAAAACTGGTGCCCTCAGCTCACAAAAGGAATTTACCCTAGGTACGAGAGAACATTCATCAAATAGGATGGAAAGAAAATGCTGCCACAGAAACCATTGATAGGAAAAAAAGTTATTATTTGCAAACACATTCATGCATTCTGAACTTGTAACACATAGATGTACATGTAAAGTTTCGCACATTTAAAAGACCATGCTTTCTGCTATGCTATGATATTTTATTGCTGTTATGTGTAGCTCTAGCAATTATAAACTTTTCAAAAATTGTGAGAGATTCCACATTTCATAATGTCTATATCAAGTGGTCATTGTTTGATGACTATAGACTCCATTTGCTACCATGCTGCACATAGTATGATGGAAACTAAAAGTGACATTTTCCATTTAGCAGGAATGCCTTTCATCCTAGTCTTATCTGAACGTGACTACACGGTACTGCAAAGGGGTAGACGCCTTTTTTCGGGGGGAACGTGCACGGTCTGCGGCCCAACGCCCCTTCAGACGCGCAGAACCAACACGAGCTTTACTTTTGCACAGTCCCGTAGTTCGTGGAGTGGCGTATTTACCGGGCAGACAGAGCCCCAAGCATCCACTCCCTTGCTAAAAGCCATGTAGCACAGGCCATCGTTGAAAATTGATACGTTCCATTAAAGGGGGGCTAAGCCTGCCCAAGCCTCTCAACGGATGCAATATTGTTCCAATGCTTTTAGCCTTGTGCGGGGAAAAGAAAATACAGCCAGGTTTTGGTGTATTGAGAGAATATTTTCTGCCATCTGTGCTAAGATAACATGATTCTCTTGTAACCCACCACCTCCATGTTCGAAACCAAGTGTCCTAAGTGCTCAAACGGTGGCACATTGGCTAAATGGAGACCCTCAAGATCATTTTGTCAAGTACTATAATTGGATGGGCAATTCACTTAGAGGATGGAAGAGCCTTTGTTTTCAACATTGCAAGTGTGAAGGGTTCGTCTGTGGAAACGTACCTGCTTTTTTTTTACCTAAGAAAGTAGCAGCTGTGCTTGTAGCTTTAGTTGTGTTTGACATCTGTATCAATAACATTTCCCTTCGTCTTGCTAAGGTAGCATTTTAGTATCACATTTTACTAGTTTTGGGGTTACTTAGTAGGGAGAAGGTTACACTGTATGAGTGTCAGACATCCTAATCTACTTCTAATCTCTTCAATATTGCCAAAATATATTCATCTGATCTCCTTCTTCTGGCTCTTGTTTACAAAATCTCTAACAGTACTTTTTGCTGGTGAAATTCCTCTGTTTTTTTTTTCAAAAGCCCTGGCCACATACATCATATGATGCACCTAAGGTTTTCTTTCTGCAATAATTGTGCCATAGTATATAATGTATATGACCTGGGCTAAGTACATAGTGGTATAAAAGATACTGATGATTAGCCTCCATCAGGCCTTTCTACGGGAATAGGGATTGTAGAATTTGGCAAAAAGGAGAGTAAAATTGGCCAGGGGAGTCAGTCTGCGGAAAGTTGGTTCTTGCACTCCGATTAGCGGCCTGTCAAGCCCCGAAGCAGCCAAACTCCCCTTGCAAATATTCTCCTATATATAGCCAGCGTAGTTAGTCTGGTAACTGAGGACTGTCAGAAGCTATCAAAGTTTTCTTTTTTTTTGCTTTCAATTAGGATTTAGGTAGCAAGTAGTTGGTCCAATTAGTTGGTTCAATTGGTGAATTAGAATATAGCTCACCCAGGCCAAGATGCACTAACTCCTATCCCCCTGTTATCTGTTAGATTGTAGTACATGTACCAGGTATTCCCTGAATGAGCTAATTACTTCAGACTGTCCAAACTTGGTCACAGAAGACTATGGTTTGTTTCTGTAAGGACCACAGTTGTGTACCAGGTTGACCACTGATACTTCAGTCCTGTTTGAGTTGACATGGGTTTTACTTTTAGGGAGGGAAACTTCTAACCCTACAGTCAACATGTCCAGCCTGCATGCTGTGTCACTGCAACGATTGTAGTTTCTCAGAAATACATGTATACATGTACTTTTTCATTTCCTATTGCTGTAGTATGGCATTGTAGCATAGGCATGCACTTGCCTGTTATTGAACTGAAGAAGATAACATTAATTGTTTTATTTTTGTCAATGCTTTTGTTTTGCTTTTGATTCCTATTGCAATGTTGAACAGTGCACAGATCAGAATGAAGAGGTTTATATACTATGGCCAAACAATCTGTATAATATAATGGACTAACACAGGGGTACAACATCCATATCTTCCCAGTCCAATCAACAATGTAAGCTGGCAGGCACACTAGTGAATGTTGAAATAGCCCCCAAACAAGTCTTTTCTTTGTACCAGCAATAAATAGCTAGAAACACTCTGTGATATGAAACAATCAACCATTTTCCATCAGCAACATCGCATTTTTGCCTCACAGATATCAGTATGCCATGGGATAGGGTTGATTCAACGTACAACATTAGATGACAGGCAAATTTACTTGTAAATGTGCCAAATGTTAGCTACAGGGAACTTGAGGTTCCTGCTACAGATCTACTGTATTAACTGTTTTCTGTAGTAACAGACAAAAGACAACATGCCCAGCCTTGTGTATGTGAGAAAATAACAGCAACACTTTGTGTTCCTTTCTACTCCAGACCGACAAAGACCAGTGGTTCTGGGTTCGAATCCTGGGGTTGCTGGTCACTAGCGGCTTCTGCAACTTTGCGCAGAATATCGTGGCTTTCACGGTCATCTCCATCGTCAGCCCGCTGAGCTACTCGGTCGCGAACGCGACCAAGCGAATCCTGGTTATTACAGTCTCCCTTATCACGCTGAAAAATCCCGTCACCTCTACCAACGTGTTAGGCATGTTTGTGGCCATACTGGGAGTTCTCGCATACAACAAGGTGAGTCCTGACTTCTACTTGTACAGTGTATTGTCTTCTGCTTTTCTTACTTTTTTTCTTAATTGAGCAAAAGCTGAAGAATGCAGAAAGTAGTCATTATGTTATTTATGTTATGTTAAGTTGTAGTCTTGAAAGAACTATAGTATCATAGCTAAGCATTTTGTGAATGAAGCAAAAGCAAGGCTTAGTGTTTCCTAGCCATATAGTCCCGATTGCTACTCAATGCAAAACTGGTACACAAATGTATAGAAGATTCTGTGGCTGAATTGCCCTGTTTTTTTAATGCTACAAGGATGCAATGTACATTTACAACATGTTGCAGTTTCAAAAATCATCATTGTACCTGTTTTGTTTTGATGCCTTGTATTAAAGTATGATCAATATAACATTGCAGTCTGTTTAAGGTTTTGATATGCATGTAACTGCAGGTTGTTTTATAGCTATAAGTCATAAAACAAAGGTTGGAACTATTATGCAATCTGCATCAACATACACAAAGTCTGCTATATGTACATATGACTATGATAATGGCCATACATTATATTGTTTAATGCATATCCCTTCAGCAAGGAAGCTATGGAAGATTCCAAAAGAAGAGATCGAATGAATGAATGAATGGATGAATAAATGGACAAATGATTGAATAGTTTGTTATATTGATATTTGACAGCAGCAAGTTATCGCAGATGAAAATATGACATATGGCTTCTTCTTGAGTTTCCAAGAAGATGCCATCTACTGGTATAAAAGTCTAACAGGTGGTAGAGTTTGTACCTGTCTTATACACTGTTGTCAACCTGTTGTCATCTTTTATGCCAATTTGTGGACTTCACAACTGTTTTTCGTGAATAGGAAATGTTCCATTTCTGGTCAAAAGGTACAAATTTGGTTTCATGCAAAGGAGAGACTTCTGTATCTGTATAGCTGGTTAATGCTGACTTCAAGTTGAAGTCATACAATACTTCCTGAAAAACAGGTTGGGACAGTTCATCCTCACTTTGGGACAATTGAAATTTATTTTTGGAACAGTCATCATCATTTGGGACAGTGCTGGGACAATAAGAAGAAAAGTTAATTTCAAGGCCTCCCCCAGTACTGAGGTGACTGGAAAGGTCCAGTATAGCCTTCCTCCCATTCCTACTGGCGCCAGTAGAGTTAAGCCTGGTTCTGTACTACCTTTATCCACGGCAGACACCGCAAATCTGTGGGTAAACAACCACACTACTGACACGGAGAAACACACCGCGAGAGATTAGGGTGAAGGTTCAGGGCAGGAGATAGTCCTGCGACCTGCGGACTCCGGGATTAAGATTGCTAAACAAGAAGATTTCCTACTTTGAGATAATTGAAAAACAGACTTTTTTCTTAAGTAGCTTTCATAGCATTTGTAAAATAATATTCTTTAGTATGACAAAAAGGCTAAACGTTCTGACTAACAATTTGAGTATATTGGGACTTACCCAAACTTTCGGCTCACTCCGTCAGCCTTGTTCACGGAATGGACCCATCTACTGCTTTTGTGCTAATATTCATTAGCGTTGTTTCCATGAAAAACTTTTGAAAAAGACTTTTAAACAGTTCTAATCAAATATAGTATGTGTAAGGTGGGAATCAAATCTATATTGAAATGCACAGAAAAAGGTAAACAATACTTTGACTGACATGTTGGTGGGAAGGGATTTGGAAGGAGACATTTAGAAATTGAAGTGATCAATTAATTTGAGATCCATGTATTAGCCTGTACAAACAGGCATTACCTGGTTATCCTGTGTACAGCTTCAGGCCACTCAGACTTCATGTCATGGTTCACATCAACACACACATTCATTTTGTTACAACATCTCTTCATATCTAGAATTCAGTTGCTGTGCATTTTCTGATAGATCTTCATATTTTTCCATTCAAATATTTAATGATCACAATTGTGTAGCCATAGCTACAAATCAGCAATTCATCATATACTGAGATCAACATTTTCATTAAAGCCTTTTCAAATCTTCACAAAGTATCAGCAATAATATATCCCAATGTTAAATTATTCACAGTGTGTTTGCAATGTGTGATGACAAAGTAGTAAAATGCTTTATTATTGTTCACATTACATGTAAGTGTCACCTCAAAGTTAACAATTTTTCACAGATTTCTCAACATAGCATACAATGACGTTCATGTTTCTAATCTTTCTCATGTCCCTGATTTATATATTCTTGAACATCATTTCTGACAGAAAACAGGATTATGTTGTCTTTACAAGAGTTCCCAGAGGATGTATTAGGTAGGCGTGTCCACATGAGCTCAGGTTACTGTACATCTGGGGCAGTAACATGTCTGTCATCAGCTGGTCTTATCACTTATCAGGTACACACACTATCCTGGGAACAGGAACAGCTCTCTGCCCCAGGGAACAAACAGGTGCAGCTCTCTGTCCCAGGTAACAAGTGCAGCTCTCTTTCCCAGGGATGTTGAGGTGAATAAACTGAAGAGAGGAGATCTTATTTTTGCCAAGTTGATTAACATTTTTTAATTAAGAATCTCCAGTAAGTTGCATTCTTGAGGTTGTATTTTAATTCTTTTTCATGTAAAATTTCATGTTTACTTTTTTTCTGAAGAACGGAAATGTTTGTACAGGTTAGGTGAAAATCCAATTCTTACAACAAACTTTGCTGCTAACTTCAAGCATTTCCTTTTTATGAAAAATTATTTCCTCTATACGTAAGATGCTCGGATACCACACGGCGTCTTTCCTAGTGATAAGATTTTCAGCATTCTGAGATAAGAACGCGAAGATAACGCATAGATAACGCGTTAGTTTAGAATAATGACCCGTGCGCCTAGCCCCGCCCACCCAATTAACGTCTCCGAGATCGCCGATATCTGGGTGTTCGGTTTCTCCGCCTTTTTTCTTCAAGGAGGAAAAGATTTGGACCATTTAGTTCTGCCTTAATTATCGGACACGTCTTGAGACGATGTCTTAAAGAAGAGCTGTTGTCCCTTTCATCTTCAGTCGTTTCTTATCATTTCAATGGCGCGAGACTGACCTCCCCTCCCGGCCAGAGTTAGGCCGCCCCAAATAAGATGGCCATTAAGGTGGCCATTTTTTCAGGATTTCTCTTCCACCACCTAACCTCCAAGCTTATGCGAAAATTAGACTATTTTTAATTTTTTTTCTCTTAGTGTTTTTTTCTTCAAGTTTTGCGATTTTTTCACTGTTTTATAGTAATATTTTTTCGCTCGACGGGGTTTTGGACTAGAGTATGTTGATGAATGGAATTGATACATATATCTGAACATAGGCCATTGTATGCAACGGCTTTATGTTTTATATTTTTATATCGATATCTGAACTGTAACATTTACATTTGAAGGGAATTCGTTGGCGGAAGCTTGAATACCAAGGCAATCACAATTTAAAACTGCATGTCAAAAAAGACAATGTAAAGTTCAAACAGTTTCGTTTAAATTTGTTCAAATTACAATCCATCATAAAATATTAGATTTATGAACTAAGAAAGTTTACACGAATTTGAAGAACACGAATGCGCACGCAGAAATGTTTAACTTACATCTAAAATGTAAATAAATTATACATTCAATTAAGAAAAAGTTTTTCATTCCCTCATTGATAGCTATATATAGTGTTATGTTGTATGGATACTAACGGGACCAGGTTTCGTCACTTGTAGGCTTACTTAGCTTTTAAAACGTTCTGCGGTTTGCAGTAACCATGTCGCAACGTCAGAGAACTGACCATAGTGTTAGTACAACTTCTGGGACAAGTGTCTCTTAAACTAACATCGGTCAGAACTGTCGTTATCTGTCTCACATCGGAATCTTTAAGAGACTTCCTAAATGTCGGAAGTATTTGATCTGAAAGTATATAGCTACGTTTTGTATTGCGTGTGAAAATCCAAATTTTGTGTGCAACAATTTTTTTCTGGCCTTAAAAACTTGTGCCAGAAGTGTTTTAAGTATTCATTCTTTTAGTTCGGGAAACTTTCGCATCAGCCGTTTTGTAGTAAACTTTCAGAAAAGTCGTTTCTTTACCATCAAAACGTTCCTTACGTTCAAAACTCGTTTTTCTTTTTCAAAAATTGAGAGTCTGTATGACTCATACTAGTATTTTTGTTGAAATAAAGTTGTTCTATGCGATCACAATGGTAATTTTTCGTCTTCATATTCGTAGTAAGTCTTTGCATGACGTAGAGCACTTGCAAGTTTCTAGCACTGACGAAAAATGCAGGTTCAAATATCTACCCCCTTAGGGTTTAGAAAAAGCCTACGAAAATTGCCTTCGAAAGTTCTTCAGTCAGCCATGTCCTATCCTGTAAATACTTTTGCATGAAATCGTTGACTGATGTAATAATGGTCTTGAAAAGATGTAAGGCAAGCGCTGAGGTGCGGACAGAGGGCGTCAAGAACCTCAAACGCCGTCTTATCTTCAAAAGAAACCCACAAACTCTTGACCATACGAGTCACTTTCTCTTCCCAGATCTTAAAGATGACGCCCAGGCCCAAGTTTGTCGCCGTTATCTTTCAGAATCTCGTCTCCAAGTGCCAACAGTGAGTCTTTTCTTCCCGGACTCTTAGAAGTCGGTTTTCCCAGGGACGAAAGTTGTCGGCTGTCGTTCTTACTTAACATTCCCGGACAGTGAAGTAGTACATGTGGCGGCTAGAGGGAGGGTTTGGAGACGACGTAGCATGCAGTTTTACTTGGGCCACAGTGACTTCATTTTATGGATGACATCCTCTGGAGACCCCCAAACTAGTGCGCGCGGGCGAATAAAAAAAATCACAGCCAAAAAAAATTGTGCTAAACCACAGAAATACAAAGCTGGTGTTGTGAGTTTGCGGTAGTACATTGCGACTTTTACACCAAGCCGATGTTCTAAGTTTTAGAACACCGGCACATGCTGGCCTTATTCGTTATTGCGGCATTTATGAGTCGGCACTGTACTGAGTTCTGGAGTTCTTGGACCTTTGGTAGCCTGGGTGCCATCCTC